TGGCTGCCGTTTCAGGGCACCCAATGCCCTCTTCGGGCTTCTGTGGGAAGGAACCAGATACACACATGGTATGCATACACACATGCAGGCAAGACTCACATACTTAAAAAGATTCTAGACTGAAGTCATCCACTCTCAATTCAGAATGAATGAATACATACTTGCATGAAAAACAATTCATGTCATCTAAACATCACATTTCTTAGTATCACAGAAGAGTTGATATCCATAAACATACATTACGTATCAAGACCATGTATCATATATAATGAGATGAAACTCAAAACCAACATGCCATAACTTAGGGTCTTGTCAACAACCTTAGGGGCTGGTTGCTTTCAAAGTAGTTAAGAAAAGGTAGCCTTCCCTTGGCCTCAATTCACGTGGCAAGCTTCAGACACCCATGAAATCCTGCTGGATAGCTCCTGCAGAACACCTGTTACATAAGACTATCCTCCCAGCCAACTGCTGTCCTCAGTTCACCTGGCCTGCTCACCAATCACCACAGCTGGGCTAGTCTCATGAAAGGAAGAGACGGGGAGGTTCAAGGGACCCCCACAGAGGATCCAGCCACCCCTCCCAACCAGCTGCAGCATGCAATTCTGCCCTAATTGCACATGGCTTGAAGTAGGGGATTATGAGGGGTGGGAACTCCATCTACACAACCACAGGGGAGTTATCACCCATACTCCTCGCAGTACGGGCCACACCCACTGCACTGTAGGTGATCCTAATAAACGCAACAGTTCCCTGAGTGCACTCTGGCGAAGAGCATCTTGTTTGTGGGTGGGAACACAGAAGGGCAGCCGTTCTCTATACTTCCCAAGGGAAGGACTCAGCCCCGAGGCTGGTCTCCGGCCGCCACAGCTGCAGCAGTGGCCCTCGGCCCCACCTGGTGCTGCTGCTCCCACTTGAAGCACTTCGTCTCTTCCGAGTCTTATCCCTGCCACGGTCCTTCTCACTTGACTCTTTAGTGGCCCCTTTATCTTTAGAGCGATCCTTGGACTTCTCGTCAGAGCGGTCCTTGCGTTTGGTAGGAGAAGGAGCCCTGCATGGTGAGGAAGAATGTGAGGTTGCAAGCTCCCCTGACCAAACCCTGAAATAGTACAACCCAGTAGTGGGGTCCAAAGGGAATACTAGGAACCCAGGTGATCACAAAACGATCTGTGTATTATGACACTCACTGCAGAACACAAAAATCTCCCCTCTCTGAGGGTCCCTAAATAGCAAGCACCCCCAAAATAGCACTAGAAAAATCTTACAGAAAGATTACCTAGTGCTGGACTTTTTATTATTTTCTTTGACTCCTAGCAAGCTCTTCTTTTTCACTCCTGATAAATCCATTCTCCCTTCTGAGGTGTTCAAAGCAGCAATGTCGGCCTCACTTATCTGAACTCTCACTTCTAACTCGAGTCTGAGAAACGATCCCTAATCGATTGCAATTTACGCCAAAGAGCAGCCTAGTAACAAGATAAAAGGATTTAAATAGAGTAAACGAATTGACAAGGCAACAAATCCACTTTGCAACAAAAAGTTGAACACACAAGAAGAGAGCAAGGGAACACAGCAAACAGCAAGTGTCTACACAGCCTGCACACTGGGGAGAGGACAGCCCTCATCTCCCAGGGAGGCACAAATGGAATGGCCAAATTAGTTTGTCGTTTTTTAAATAGGAGAAAAAATACAAAATTTATTACACATCTAAGGTACAGGAATATTAAGATTCTTCATTGTTTTCATTAATGAAACGGGGGTGGTAATTGTACCTATCACTGTTATTTTAGAGCCTGCATAACACTAGAGTTCAATGGTAAGTTTGGTAATGAGCCAGCCAGCCACCCGTAAGCGGCTTTCAAAATACTAGATACCACATGGCCTCAGAGGAGAAAAACCCAATTTGTAGATTAACCAACAGGCTCAGATTTATTTGTCTTTTGCCATAATTCCCTTGGGGGATACACTGAGTGATGACTAGGTCATCTTGAGTGACAAGCACTAAAACATTAAATATTCGACACAAATGGACAAAACATCACACAAGAGCATAAAGAAGGGTCCTAAAGCTGGGCAGTGGTGGCACACACCTTTAATCCCAGCACTTGGGACACAGAGAAGGCCAAGAGATGGAGGTCAGCCTGCTCTACGGAGCTAGCTCCAGGACAGCCAAGAGGGCTACACAAAGAAATCCTGAGGGTGGGGAGGGGAGCAAGAAAAAGTAAGACTATCAGGGGGTAAACTATAATGCAAACACGGGGAGATGTGACTTGTTGGATCCAGGTAGCAGTCAGGTAGGCACAAATATGTATTTCTTTCTTTCTCCACCTTGAGACTTGGAATGGGGTGAGGATCTCACAGGCAGTGTAAAGGTTTATTAGCAATATGCTAAATAACAGTAACAATAAAATAGAAACTGCTCCCTGTGCCCTCTTCTTAGGGAGCAAAATACTATCCAAGGTCTCAGGATGTATCTTAACTCTCTTTTCTCATCTTCAACTGTAACCCAGGGAGAAAGAACACAGCATCTGGAGTTTGATTTGAGAGACAGGGCACTTCTAAATGCTGCTGAGTAAGTATTCTAGCCCAAAAGAGAAGAGCCCTTGCCTTTGGACAAATGAATGGAACATGGGAAATGACTCCTATACAGCTCCTTTCCAGGGCTATCAAATCTTTTCAAGCTGTTTGCCCTAAATATACTAGACACACCCACCGGGGAGCACAAGCAGCTCGTGGTCCGAGTAAGCAAGCATGCCTGTGCTTGGTGTCATGCTTCACTGTTGTCATCCTGGTCAGGACACTCACTCTTACAATTTTGTTTATTGACACAGGATCTCTCTATTACATAGCCCTGGCTCTCTATGTCTGGCTGGCACTCACTGTTAGTCTTATAACTTTGGTGTTTTTTTTTTTTTTTTGAGACAGGATCTATTATGTAGCTCCAACTACATTAACAGAACTGGAACTCCCTAGGTAGACCAGGTTGACCTCTGCCTCCTAAGTGCAGGGATTAAAGGTGTATTTTATTAAAGATAAGGCCTCTAGCCCAGGCTGGCTTCAAATGTTCTATGCAGGAATGTTTGCCCATTGATCCTCCTGCCTCCACCTGGGATTACAGACTTCATATATGGGGCTGGAGACAGAAACCAGGCTCATGCACAGTAGGCAGCAGCAGACCACCCCTGAGCTGCTGCTAGAGCTTCACCTTTCCTGACATCAGCTCCCAAGGCCTTAGCCTGAGAACTGACCAGCTAAAAGCTTGAGGTTAAATGACAGTTGAGGGCTGATCTTCAACACCTGCATCCTCATTACCTCATTACACATGATTCTGAACGTTTAATCAAGTCTGGACAGCTCACCTTAAGATCACTTTAGGGTGAGACCACATAGGGCAGCACTGTCAGTAAGAATGTGAGCATGAACACAGCCTCAAATTTCCTTGCAGCCATACCAAAACTGGTGAATAACTTTTTTTTTCTTGTAGTGCTGGGGAATAATACTCAAGAGCCTGTCTGGGAAATGGTGGTGCACACCTTTAATGACAGCAGTCGGGAGGCAGAGCCAGGAGATCTCTGAGTTTGAGGCCAGCCTGGTCTACAGAGCTAGCCAGTTCCAGGACAGCCAGGGCTATACAAAGAAACTGTTTCAAAACCAAAACCAAAACCAAACTAAACTAAAAAACCTCAGAGCCCGGTGTACTCAACAAGGACCCCACTACTGACAAAGATTGACAGTCCAAAATTAACAGGTCCCCCCGCCCCCCTTCTTGAGACATGGTCTCACTATGCAGCCCTCAACCACCCGGGGTGACCAGGATGGCCTCAAACTCAAGACACCTGACAGTGCTGGGATTAAAAGTAGTATGTGGTTCCCAAAATTAGTTGTTAATAAGATAATAACTATTACCTCTGTAACATATACACTAAATGTGTTTCTTTCATACTAAGTTATTTAAATCTGGTATGTACTTTAACATTTCAGTTTGGGCTGCCACCTAACTGCTCCGTAGCTACCAGTGGCAAAGAAGAGATTTCATTTGCGCACCTCCCCACCCCAACCTGTCGGAATATACTTTAATGAAACAAGCAGAACCCGTGATTTTTAAGCAGTCTACAAATTATGAACCATAGACAAAGCGAACACTTTGCTGGGTGTGGTAGAAAGCAAAGGTGAGGTTCTCTGTTCCCAAGTTCAGGTAACAGCTCAGGGCCTTGGTCACCTTCCCATCCTCCGGAAAGGTGTGCGTCCAACAGCCAGAGAGAGGAGAAAACAATTAGTGAAATCTGGAGCAGAGGCCGTTTCGGCGATCTTACAAAAGCACATCTGAGACCCGGTGTCTACGAAATAACACGAGGTAGAGAGAGCAAGCCTACAACCACGTCTCTCCACCCTAAACCATAACCTTCCAGTATTTTCCTTCTGAGCTCGGTAACCTGCTCAAGTCCACCCTGGGCCGGACCCTCAAGGCCCAGGGCTGAGAACTGCACACAGGAGTTCGATAAACACTCGTGGAAAGAGATCTAAAAGGAAGCCAACCTTTTAGGCCGGTTCACAATCGGCACCGTCCGCTCCGGCCACACATATCGACCTCGCCTCCCACCCTGTTTCTCCACTCACAACTCGGGTAGGGCCTGACGTGGCGAGCCTAGGTCTCCAGCTAGACAAGAAAACAAGAGAAGAGGCGGCGCTCGCAGCTGCCGGGAGTCGTGCAAGCTGAGCTGGCCGCCGCCAAGCTAACGATGCGGGATCGCCCTTCCGTCTGCGACCGCCTCGACCACTTCCGGGCCGCGGCCTCGACGCCTCCCACTCCGCCCGACCCGGACCACTCTTTCTCTTCGGGCTCTGCGCCTCGCCGGCAGGCCGCTACCGCCCTGCGGGGCTGCGAGACGCAACCGGCTCCACGATGCACCCCACCAAGCCTGGCAGAAGGTCCCCGAAGGCCGGATGCGGCCGGATTCCTTCCCCAACTTACATCTTCCCGAGGCCGCCACCTCCTCCCGCTCTTCTCAGACCCGGAGGCCGGCGCAACTCTGTCGTCAGAGTTGAGAAGCGGGAAGACACTGCGTCGTCGCGCAGCGATGACGTAAGCTTCTCAGCCAATGCACGCGAGCAGTGGAGAAGTAAAGGACAGCGACTGTTTATGGGAGGAGCCTCGCAGCGCTTGTTTTTTTTTTTTTTTTTGCCCTGAGTGGAGGCAAAGCTAAGATTGCCGGGACTCGTTTTGCGCATCCTGGAGCTCACGGGCGATTGGCTGACCCGGACCGGAGGGCTGCACCTTTTGGCATCTAGCGGATTTTTGCGAAAGGAGCGACTCTGGTCGCCTCTTTTATTGACTCTGAGTACCTCGCTTTCGATGTTCGTAGAACCCAAGGTTATGCACCCTGCAGGGAGCGCTGCGCCATACAGCCGAGGCGGCCGAGGGTCAAAGTAAAGCCGCGCTATCTTAAAGGGACAGGCTGGTACAGATGGTGGGTTCGTGCCGTCAAAACTCTCTGGTTGAAGTGATGATCGCGTAGACGCGGTCTCTGTGCTGGTGGGATTCGGCCGACTGGGTGCAGCAGGAGGCCAGTGAGGCTAGAAAGAAAGGAGTTTGAGGAAATGTTGAAGACATGTAGTAGGGCAGGCGTTTCCGAGGTGACATTTCTGAAAAGGACGCGTGAGGCAGAGGGAACAGGTGCAAAGAAAGGCGTTCATGTTCGCTGGGAGAGGAAAGGGAGCTCCAGTCCGGGTGAAGGTCACTCTCAGGACATAGAGGTCCCTGTCCGTGCACTAAGCTATAGAGTAGCGTCCGCCGTGGTGCCCCGCCTCCCAACTCTGCTTGGCACGTTCCTTGCTCTGTGATTATTTGCGGAAGGAATGGATATGCGTTCAGTCCCTGTGGTTATCTAAATAGGTTTGAGGCAGCAAGGGAGAGAGAGAACAGATCTAAGGTGAGCTTTAGAAGAAAGGAAAAAAAGGAGGCTTAGATTTGGATTACATATTTCAGCGAAAGATAGGAAAAGAAGCCTATGTGCAGCTTGGTGACCATGGAGAGATGGAGGGAGGAGATAGCATCCAAGGAGCTGGACACTGGCCAGGAGAAGGAGCCTGCCTCTGGACTCTGCTCCCCTGAGGCGCCAGTTCATTTTGGGGGGTGGAGTTAGCAGATCCAGTCAGTCTAGCCTGGTACCCCTGTTGGACTTAAGATTTGATGTGTGGAATATTTAATATAAGCTGATTTTCCTGTATTATTGTCATGCTGCTGTGGTCAGACATGAGTGGTAAGTGGATGTATTAGCTGTTCTCTAGAGGAACAGAACTGATAGAATGAAAACAAATAAGTAAATATATTATGTTGACTTTCACGATTCAGTCTGGGTCACCCAGCAGTGGCTGTCTGCACCCTGGAAAGGCTGAGAACCAGTAGTTTCGAGGTCTAAGAAACTGGATATCTTTGTAGTCTTTGTTTGTTTGGTTGGTTTTTCGAGACAGGGTTTCTTTGTGTTGTTTTGGTGCCAGTCCTGGAACTCACTCTGTAGACCAGGCTGGCCTCAAACTCACAGAGATCCGCCTGGCTCTGCCTCCCGAGTGCTGGGATTAAAGGCAAATGCTGGGATTAAAGGCGAACGCCACCGCCACCCGGCTTCCTTTGTAGTTTTAATCTAGCACTGAAAGCATGGCGGATTCCTGGCCGTTAGCACAAGCTGAAGGTGGAAGACGTTGGGTTCTGATGTAAGTGAAAGATGGCAGCGAAGAGGTAGACAGACTTGCCAGAGAGAGGCAACAAAAGCACCTCTCAGCCCTGTTCCTGCCTGGGCAGCTGCTGGAGAATGCTGCTCACATTTAGGGTAGCTCTCCTCACTTAACAATTGCAAAAATCCCTCACAGGTGTGCCCAGAAGTGTGCCTCTTGGTTAATTCTAAATGCAGTCAGGTTGACAACCAAGATTAACCATCTCCCAGGGGCTTCACCCTGTTCTTGTAGAGAAAGGGCCCTTGAAACTCCGAGATGGGGTGGTGATGGGCAAGCAGGCAGCATGTCTCAGTTCTCTGAAGATTTAGTGGAGTTTATGGTTAGAGAGGCTTCTGAAGGCCTCAAACCCGGAGCTTTGGGTCCAGAGCAGCACCGACACCCTAGAAGCAGGAGGCAGCCTAGGGACCCCACCGTGGCTGGTAGGGTGAGGCCACAACAAGTTGGGCTAACACCCTCTCCCCTGCTTTCCCCCCCAAATGCTCAGAGTAAGTTAATTTGGCATTTGTGTAAGCTCTAACACATTTTATATTAAATCTAAAGGCATGATTTACTCAGATGCTTTGATAAAATTTGTTGCTAAATATTATGGATTTTTATAATCAAATGTATTATCAGCTGTTGAGCTCTGAAAGCTGAGCATCCAGCTTTTACCATTTTGAGTATGCAGAAACATTCAGAAGGATTTTAAGAACTGAATCTCTAGCCAGGTGGTGGTGGCTGTGGCAGTGGTGGGGCACGTTTTTTATCCCAGCACTCAGGAGGCAGAGGCAGGTGGATCTTGTAGTTTGAGGCCAGCCTGGGCTACAGAGCAAGCTCCAGGACAGCCAATGCTACACCAAGAAACCCTGTCTTGAAAAACAAACAAACAAACAGAATCTCTGGATCTCTCTCTCTCTTCCTTTAAAGATTTATTTATTATGTATAGTGTTGTGTCTGTGTGTATCCCTGCAGGCTAGAAGAGGGCACCAGATCTCATTACAGATGGTTGTAAGCTACCATGTGGATACTGGGAATTGAACTCAGGACCTCTGGAAGAGCAGCCAGTGCTCTAAACCTCTGAGCCAACTCTCCAGCCCCTCTTTCTTGTTCTAGACTCCCTTTTCCCAGCCTGTTGCTAACCTACTGAGGCCAAAGTGGTGAAAGGCCACTGAACTGGAGTTTCCAGGGACCCAGGGCATCCTTGGCCCTGCTCTGCTGGAGGAAACATGAGTACCTGGCCACAGTTCGGGAATGATGTAAGCCCTGGCCAGTATTCTGAGCTCTCTTTCTTCCCTTCTCAAGTTCAAGGTCACCTGCTGGTGATGTCAAGGCCATTTTAACCTTGAGAGTGTACTCATATTAAGGCAGAGCATTTCCCCAGGCCTGATGACCTCTGAGATGACCAACCTTGAAGGCAGCTTCAAAACTGCTAAGGTCGGAGCCAACTTGGGCTGTGGTGGAGGTTTGATCAGTTTTGGATAGGCCCAAGTTGTGTCAAGGGAGGGAGTGCCATGCCAAGATGGAGAAAAGGGAGATGACTGGTGACAGGCAGACTGAAGAAGAGTCACCAAGGCCTAGTACCTGACTTAGGAAGAATAGAGTGGGGAAGATGTGATGGGCAAGTCCTTCTTGATGGCCAGAATTAGCTGAAAGGGCTCCTAGGAAGCTGACGTAGGTGAGCTTCAAGTCTGTATTTGTGAGCAACCTCCACAGTTCCAGGTTTTCACTGTAAGGGATGACTGCAAGGATCTGAGTCCTCCTTAGTGGCTCCTTCTGGATTCTGGAACAGGATGCCCTCTGGAATAACCCAGGTGTTCCAAACTGGAGGCTCGGGATCCTGTTCATCTTCATCGTAAGGTCATGTGTCCATTTCTGCCAAGAATTCAAAGATATATCTGAGGTGTCTTTCCAGGGTGCTCTCATGGGGTGGGGTGGATATGGTCTGTTCAGCCTGGGGCTGGATGCAGAGCCTTGAGCTGACGTTTCAGCTGAGCTTGGGGTAAGGCATCCATGAGAATGGCCGGGTTGACCAGTCATAGCCAGGTGATAAAGTACTCTCACCTTGCAGGCATTGGATACAAGTATTTGTGGGGTGTGGGCAGTGCCCCAGGAGCAGAGCCTGGGCAGCTCTGTGTGTTGAGAAGGAAGTCTGTCCCTGCTCTTCAGGCCTGGCCTCACAGCTTCAGTTCTCTGTCAGTCTGTCTCAAGTCCAGGCCAGGAGGACATGTCAGGTGAGAAGGGACACACCCTAGCACCGTGTCACCAACCTAGTGGACAGTGTTCCCTGCCCTCTCTGTTAGAGACTGCTGGATATGTCTTGAGATTTGGGTTCCTGTGTATGTGTGCAGATGAATGTTTATGCTTTGGACAATGCCAGATACGTGGTGAGTGATGTCCTGAAGGTGCTGAAAGTTTGGGGTCAAGTGAGTGTGCCTTCTTCTGAACTCCTACTCCCTATTTCCTGCAGATTCTAGACCAGGGGAGGTAATTAAGAGAGGGAGGCCATCACTGGAATGGCAGACATGGTGAATGGATGGAGCCTGGCCCGAGATCCTGAGGGTGACAGCTGTGCACTGCCTTCTCCACGTTTTATGAATGGCTAAAAATAAACTTCTGTTTTCAGCCAGTGGTCTGTAATTTCTGATACTTGTAACCATGATGTGTAGGATGGGGACAGTTCCTCCTGTTTATGATCTATTATCTGTTTCAGACAGGCTCTTGCTATGTAGCCCTTGCTGTTGTGACATTCACCATGTAGCCAAGGCTGGCTTCACATTTCTGGGAATCCCCCTGCCTCTGCTTCCCCAGCGGTGCCATTGCAGGTGTGTGTGTCACCATACCTAGCAGCCCTTTCCCTTCAAACCCAGAAACGCAGTGAGGGGCTTGGCTACAGTCTCGCCCACATTGGGGCTTCCTCTACTCTTATATCTTACCCAACAAGTCCTACATGCAGCGACAGCTGAGCCACCCTGTTGGGCATAGGGGACTAAATGAGGAAACATGGCGGCCGTCCCACAGGACCTGCTCTTGGACGGAGGACCCTGAGTCAGGCCATGGGGAGCAGAGGAAACAGCCTTGTCTCCTGGGTCCCCAGGAAGAGCTAGGCAGCCAAGTACAGCAGCCACTGAAAACAGCTTGGGCCTTACTCGTCTGGGAGGAAATGGACGTGAAAGGGACAGGCTAGACTCCTGTCTGCGACCTCCACAGCTCCATTCTTTGCTATTCCTCACAACTGCATAGCTCAAAACAAGCCAATGCAGACAGGTTCCTGAGGCCTGCTCTAGGCGCTGCTGTTGATAACCCAGTACTGAGTACCCAGCCCTGTCCCCAGTGGGGTCATGCAAACCCTTCCTGCTGCACTTAGTCATTCTTTCTCCTGGCTGTCCTGAAACTCACTGTTTAGGCCAGGCTGGTCTTGAACTCACAGAGATCCACTTGCCGGAGTGGGACTAAAGGCACCACCACCTGGCTCACCTAAGGTTTTTTTTTTTTTTTTTTTTTTTTTTTAGGCTGGCCTCAAACTCACAGAGATCCTCCTGCCCCGTCTCCTGAGTGCTGGGATTAAAGGTGTGCGCCTGGTTTACACATACCTTCTCTATGTAGCTGTGGATCATCTTTATCTGGTTAACCTTAATTGTCAACTTGAAACAGTCTAGAATTATCTGAGAAGCCTCAGTTGAGTTATTGCCTAGATCAGGCTGATTTGTGGACATGTTAGTGAGGGATTGTCTTGTTGTTACAGGAGGGCCCAGTCTGCTGTAGGCAGCACCATTCCTCAGGTAGGTCATCCTGGGTTGTGTTAAAAATCTAGCTAAGTACTGGGCAGTGGTGGCGCACGCCTTTAGTCCCAGCACTCGGGAGGCAGAGGCAGATGAATCTCTGAGTTTGAGGCCAGCCTGGTCTACAGAGTGAGTTCTAGGATAGCCAGGGCTACACAGAGAAACCCTGGGGGGAAAATATAAGCATGAGCCGATGAGTAAACTGTAAAGTGAGCCAACAAGCATTCCTCTATGGTTTCTAGAGTTCCTATTCTCACTCCCTTAATGATGGGTTGTGACTTTGAAGTGTAAAGCCAGAGAAATCCCATCTCTTAAATGGTTTTTGGTCAGAGTATTTTATCAGCAATGGAAAAGAAACTAGGTTCCCAAAAGCATTCTGGTTGCTACAGTCCTCACATAAGCCCTCTGCTGGCAGCTTTACCCTGTCTTTGAGAGGACAGATGTCTCCATGTGTACTGAAGCAGGCCTATTTCACAGGTGGACATATATATAGTATCTTCATCCAGGCCTATCTAGGCCTCAACACCTTTCTGCATACTTTAAAAAATGGGAGGGGAGGGGCAGCATGGAGATGAAAGAGAAAGAAAATCACTAAAACACTTCCTTTTTAAACTGGTAGCACATGCCTTTAATCCCAGCACTCGGGAGGCAGAGGCAGGGTGATCTCTGTGAGTTCGAAGTCAGCCTGGTCTACAAAGCAAGTTCTAGACAGTCAAGACTACACAGAGAAACTCTGTCTTAAAAAAAAAAGATTTGCCATGGTCATGGGGTCTCTTCACAGCATTAGAAACCCTAACTAAGACACTCTCAATTGTCAACTGGTGATGAGTATGTCACCTGGGAGATGGACTTCTGGGCATAACTACAGAGGGTTTTCTTAATTAGGTTAGCTGAGGTAGGGAAGGCCTACCCAGGTAGGTGCACCATTACCTAAGGCTGGATCCTGGACTAATTTTAAAAAACACAAAGGGGCGGCAGTGGCATACGCCTTTAATCCCAGCACTCAGGAGGCAGAGCCTAGAGGATCTCTGTGAGTTTGAGGCCAGCCTGGTCTACAGAATGAGATCCAGGACAGGCACCAAAACTACACAGAGAAACCCTGTCTCAAAAAACCAAAAAATCCAAAACAACGACAAAAACAAAACACAAAGGTGAGCTGAGCACAAGCAGTGGCCGCTCTCTGCGTTTCCTTTCCAACTGCAGAGGCAACGAGACCAACTCCTTCCAGCTCCTGGGCCGTGACCTCCTCGACCTGAGGGATTGGAGCCTGGAGCTGTGAGCTGACAGGAGCTGTTTCTCCTTTCGGTAGCTTTTGTCAGCGAGGTTTACCACAGCAATGAGAAACGTAATGAAGACAGACAGCGATCAAGCCCCACGGCTCCCCACTGCCTGTGACACTCAGACTGGCCGTCCGTCCGTCCGTCCGTCTGTCTGTCCGTGTCCCCGCAGTTCTTTTCTGGATAGCCATGATGTTTACCCAAGAGATGGCCATTCAGTGCTACAGTGGTTCCCGACTGTCCTGCGGCCATGACTTCTGAAAAGCACAGTCTTTCTAAAACATTCCAGAAGGATGTAAAATGCAGAAGTGTTGACTCAATATTTTAGAAAACCGTAAGAAGCAATAGCACATAAATAAAAAGGGACTTGTGTTGAAGAAACTTCTGGAATTTTTCTTTTTGATGTTGGAACTGGAGATGTCTTACACCAGCCTGTATTGTTTTCTTGGATGTAGATGGGACCCACTTTTCATTTGCCTTTGTCCATTGTGATGGCTGATGATTACCAACTTGATGGGATTTAGAATGACCACAGTAACAAGTGTTTGGGCATGTGAGGGAGTTTCTAGATTGTGTTAATTGAGGTGGAAAGACTGACCTCGCCTGCAGTTTACCTTTCTCATCTACCCCCGTTGCCTGCCCATGCCTTGGCAGACTGAGCTACAAGAAATGTGGGTGGTGGCATTCCATGGGCTAGGGTCCTGGACTGAAAAGTGGCGAGCACCAACCAGCTTTCCTGCCTGCAGATATGGCATGGCCTGCCATCACTCCAAGCCCAGCACCACGACTTCCTCCCTGTGATCCTGTACCCTTGAGCCAGGAGCCAGAATACACCCTCCTTAAGCTGCTTTTGTCAAGTGTTTTATCCCAAGGCAAGTAAGTGATGCATGCCTCTTCCTTTACCTCAGAGCAGTGGATCCTGTAAGCTTCTTCTGTCAGGAAAAGCTAATTCCTGCTCTTGTTTGAAACTTGATATGAGAGCCACATTTGAATATGGGATCCTGGTGTAGTGATCTAGTCCCATGACCCCTCCTTATACCATATTTATGACTCAAAGACTGATCATGTCCCCTTAGCCTTTATTTTCTATAGAATCACAATATGCTTAAGTGTATCCTCAAGAGATGACACCACTCAGCCCTGTAGTGGTCCCTGACTGTCCTGTGGCGGGTAACTTCTGTTGAAGGCACAGAGCTGGGAACAGAGGACTGTGCTTCAAGTCTGGCCACACCTCTTGTGCTGCAGATGCTCTGTGGGATGACATCTGATTCAGGATCAGTTCAGCCTGGTGCAGTGTCCATACCCCAAGGAACATTGACACCCAGGGGTGCCTCCACAGCTGCACTGGGAGCCAAGGTCTCAGCACCTGGTCACAGCCAGCATCTTCCCTTCATGAAGTTATCTGCAACGATTCTGCTCATTCATGGCAGCCTGGAAGTCCTTGTTGCTGCTCAAACCTGTTGGCTTTCTTTTTCCTCCCTGGGGAGCTTACAGTCATATGTAAACATGGACAGGTCCCTGGGGGCTTTCTGGACAAGCGCTGGGAAGAAGTCCCGCCCCCAGGTTAGCTGCAGCGCCACCTGGGATGGCTCTCCACACATAGACCAAGGCCTAGCTGTGTGCACTGTGGAGTGGGCTCTGGGTCTGGGACTGTGCGGTCCAGAGTCTGCCTTCAGGAGTGGAAATCTGCGTGCTGATTCCTGCCTGCAGGTCCTGACAGACACACTCGGTCCGTTTTGTGCATATCACCTTGATTTTTTTCATGTCCATCATAGAAAAGAGTGATTAAAAATTAAAGAAAAGAGAAACTAGGAGGGAGAGGATGTACAGCTGAGCACTGACTCGCCCCTTCATGCCTGGTGCTCTGAAGGCAGCAGCAAGCTCCTCATCGCCCATCCTCAGTGGTGGGGGGCTGCAGGTGGGCAAAGCTCAGAAAGACTTGCTCCAGTGAGATCTGGCTCACAGAGTAATCGTCCACTCCATACTTCTCCTTGGCTTTCTCCAGGATACCAAACACCTTTTGAAACAGAAAAGCTACTGATAAGAGAGCCCAGGGCCCTGATAGTGAGTCCTCTGGTAATGGGAGGTTAGGCTTCACCCCACCATTCCCCAGTGTTGTCCTAGAGCCCCTGGAGAGGTCACTCCCACAGGGTCAGCAATGCTGGGGAGACGACGCTGGCTGTGCAGGGCAACGAGGTGGGAGCCAAGGCTTCGCTTCATCTCAGAGCATGGCCTTGGGCAAACTGTGTCCCATCTCTGGGGCCAGTTTCCTTTCATGCAAACATTCTTTCTTCAACCCCAAGGATTTTACATATAAAAACTGAAGCCCATCAGATATAAAGGTGAGTGGTAGAAGAAAATTAGACAGGGACTCTACCCAGGAAAGAGCCTGGAATTACCATAGAGCGGGGAGTCCTACAAGGTCCCCCTTAGTCGCTATTAGCACCCTGTAGGATTCTGGGGCCTGCACTCACCTTGGCCCAGCTGAGGTCACAGCCAGGCAAATGATAGTGGACCATGTCTTGGTGCTCATCTTCTAGGATGCTGCCTGTACAGAAGAGAGCATATTCTCATGTAGGTCAGGCTAGAGAGGATGGCCTGGGGTCCTTGTCGAGGGGTCAGGCGCGTAGGATAAATTCTGTGCAGCAGCTAACATGCCCAGACAGGCCCAGGCCCCATCCTGCACCTGAATCACACACCTGGGAAGGTCAGGTCCACAAATGCCTTGAACTCCTCTAGTACTTCTTGCTTCCCTTCACTCCGGACCTTGGCCTGCAGGGAGTAGCCGCTGCCAAACTTGCTCTTGAGGTGTTGTGGGCTGCCCAGGCACTTGAACTGGCCCTGAACCATGATGGCCAGCCGGGTACATAAGGCTTCACACTCCTCCATACTGGGGAAAAGGAGAAAGCCTGAGACGGTGCTGGAGGAGGCTGATGCTCACCCTGAATGTCAAAGGCTTGTGCAGACAGGAGGGCACCTATGCCCAGACCAGGCCATTCCTGGTTCCCCATGCTGGATGCACCCACAGGCAGAGCCTGGGAAATGTCCTGGCAGACCTGCACTAGCTGCTGCCATATCTTCTGTTCACCTGGTCCCACCCCAGCCACCCGTTCCGGCTCTGCCCCTGACCCACAGATGCCCAAGCTCTACCTGTGGGAGGTGATGACGATGGCCTTGCCAGACTCCCGGGCCCGGGCCACAGTGTCCCACAGCAGGCGCCGGGCCACAGGGTCCATGCCAGTGGATGGCTCATCTAGGAAGATGACTGCAGGCTCTCCGATGAGGGCAATGCCGGTGCTCAGCTTGCGTTTGTTACCGCCACTGGAGGTGGATGGGTGAGGTGGGAGGCAAGATCAGTAATTAAC